TCGGAGTCCATCGATCGGTCACTTGAGTTGTTTGGCTGTATGTATAGCTCCAAGAATTACAGCAAACCTGCCGTCGCTGCCGAAGAGGTAACTGTGCTCTCAAATATATATATAAAAGTTTTAATACTTAGTTATTAACCATATTTTGTGTCACTAGTGCTCAACTCAATTAAAGTTTGATTGGTCGGCCATTAATGAGTGCGCTTCGGGACCCTTGGGTCGGGGTTTGCACCTCAGGAGTGGCGAGATTTTCCAGGCCCTTAAAAATCCTAAACCCAAATACGTGGCCTGGATTATAGTCAATGGTGTCCATACGGATGCCATCAATAAAAGAGCCCAAACTGATCTGTTGGGACTCATATGCGATACCTATACTGTATGTCCACTCATATGATATTTGTATGTATTTTATTAATTTGGTATTTGTTTGTATGAATATAGGGTCCAAAACCTGATGCCTGCAAAAAGGTTTATGAAGTCTTCAATGACATCTACCGTATTCCCGCACAGCCACCGTCATGCCGTGATGACCGAGGTTGATCATTTTTACAAAAAAACAAAGGCTTTATGATACCCTACCGGCATGCCGTTATAAAATGAGGAAAAATAAATTGAGTCCAAAAATTATTTCTATTAAAAAAATCAAAAATAATAAATTTAGCTTATCAAAATAACTAATAAACTGTTTAGTAAGTTATTTCTTTCACAAATTCACAAAAATGTGTTTAATAATTATGTACTTTATAGTATAAGACTATTAGACGCAACGAATAGATAGCATTTAAAATGAATAAACATTTAACTTTCATAATCTAATGACCACCTGTTTAGATATTAATAAGATAATATACACTTATAATTCAATGTATAAAATGTAATACACTTATTTGTGAATATTAGTTTATTGAACTTTAAATTTCAAAACATGTTTTACACCTCACTTATAACGGCATGTCGGTATACCCCGGGGTATAACGGCAGTCTCATCAACCTCACTTTATATCGGCATTCCGGTGGATGTGCGGGAATACGGTAATAAATATTAAACATATTTAAATGTCTAATTTAATGCTTTTTAACTGATATGTATCTAAATATAATACTAAAATAATTTATTAAAATGAAACTTTATTATAATAACTAAAATACAAATTCTGTTCAAAAGTTTCTTATAAATTATTGGTATTAATATTTATACTTTATAAATTATAAAAGATTAAATAAACTTTTGTATAATGTATTAATTGACATGTTATTAATTTTTATTTTCAATAATTCAAATAAGCATGTGTACTTATGAGGACAATTTGTAGCATTTGTGTACCTTTGTAACATAAGATAACATTTTAAACATTTTAATCGTATTTTACTACAAATACAATACAAAAGAACTCAATTTACGTAAATTATTTGGAAGATTGTTAATACATGTAATTTGTTTTTAAAATCATATTTTTAGATAATATTATTTATATATAAATTTAACAAGAAGTTTTTAATGTTTATCAATGTTGAGTAACGCAATATAATTAAATAAAATTAATAGTAATTGAAGGTTAATCTCTAGATAAACCAAAAAATTATATGTTTAAAACTTATCATATATCCGTTCATAATAAATTTTAAACTAAATTAGTAAATATTAGATATGATTTTTAATAATCTAGGGGACAAGTTTTAATTCTAGACATTGATCAATTTAAATCAATTAAATATAAACATTTACAAGACATTAAATATCTATAGAATTACTAAATGTGAATCAGAGTATTTCATAGGGAGTTACTTGTATACGTTACTAACCTTTGCACTCTAGTTAAACTTCACAGTCACACGCGACACATCTTTACTGATGTTTAAAATTTTACAAGTCTAGAACCAAACTATTTGAAAATTAACCAGATTCCAGACCAAACTAAAGTTTATTAACTTAATTTTTAATGATATTACCTAATAATGAGCTAAATTAACTTAATAATGAACTCAATTAAGTTAATTTACTAGAGAATTAGTTT